AACTAGCTGTGTTCTTCTTTTAATTTTTTGTAATACTGTGGAAAAATAATTCCACAGCACTCTATAACATTGTGAAACAAAAAAACACAAAATACCACCAGAAAAACTATATGATAAATCAAAAACAGACATAAGGAAGCCTGGATAACTCTAATTTTACATTAATATAATTCTTTGATAAATGTTTTTTGTACAGTCGTTTTTTTTTCATATACTAACTAGTAGAAGGATAAGGAACAAGTTACTGTCGAGCAACCGCCACAACATGAACATACCATAACCGGAAGGTCGCGTAATCCGAGTCATCCACTCTTTTAAAACAATAGAGATATTTTTCCCATTGCCGCCTGTCTCCATGCTTCTCCAGTATAGGTGGAACATGATTGAGATCTCATGATAAATATGTTAAAATATGGAAAAAATGTATTTTTATAGAAAACGTTAGAGTTATGAGTACCAAAACCCACTACCCTTCGTGAACTTCTTCGTGTCCTTTGATAACCTCCGACTATTATTAGCCAGCACACTTCCACTTCAATATCTATTATACAAGTGACAAAAAATATGGATTAGAACCTTCTGGGCTATGCTAAAATATAATTAAACTGTGTATCGGTTTATCCTTTTCCAAACATTAGACCTCTTTATAGTAACTTCATATCTTAACGACACCGAGCTGAACATAAAATATATAAATCTTCACAGAATGTCCAATGGTAAACAAGGGCGGGAAAAAAAACGTTGACAGTCAATTACTTTCGTGTCTCAGAGTCTAAATGTGTTCGGAAGTTTTGATCTGTCAAAAGCAAATTCAACACTCTTACAAGAGAAGCAAAAAACTAAAAGCCTACAAGTGCTAGCTGGTATTAAACACCGTAGCTCCTGGATCTCAGTTTGGTTTCTCCTATCTCCAGTTAAACTAGTTTTGTATATTGTTCTTCCTGTCGTTGCAGTATGGCTGGCTAACGTATAGCAAGACAGTACCAATGCTATCCTGCAGTGGCTCCCAAATGTTGGAGTTGGCTAAGATTCAAATTTCCCCAATAAACCAGATCCAGTGTAACAGTAATAATAATAATAATTACAGTGTTGAGGTTTATTGACGACTGATCATGCAGAGTTAATCCTTCCTTAACTGATTATACTGAATCTCAGATCAAGTAACTCAGCTCTTTTATTGAATACAGTGTTGATGCTAGTAAACCTTTGTGCTTCCCCATCTGTTCTCACCTGTTCAGAGGTCGCTGTCCACGCACCTCGGAACATTAATGAACTCATGTCTATTACTTCACACCATGCTGTGCTGCCGAGACACCTAAAATACCACAATCCGTAAAAAGATTACTTTGAACAAACAAGAACAAAACCAGATGATGGCTTTAACTGGATAGCTTACTAATTAGCTGTAGCAGTAAAGGACTGGAATTTAGAGGGAACCTGCTAGTGGTAAATGTTTTATTAGATTATTAAGCCTTTTGATGTTATCATACTGACCAGAACGGTTAGCCATAGTCAACATTGTGCTAATTTGTATGTAGCTATCTTATTAACAGCTGAGCGATTGTGGTTGTATGGTTAGCTGTGTCGGTTCCGGAGGAGCCCAATAACGACACTTTGAACGCCATATTTGTTTCCCACTTTTGTGTTCACGTTAGCTCGTTTTGTTGTTAGCGGTCAGTTTAGCGGATTCAATAAGCAACGGTTTTTACAGTTTTTGAACGTGAATACATATATACGACAATGTGTAAGAGTTTTTATTTTCTGTAATCGAACAAACAACAAATGCAAACATCTTTAACTTATTTAGTTGACGATGGTTTGTTACTGTGGTAACCTCAGCTGGAATACCACTCGACAATGTCTTGGCCTGAAGTGCCTTGCACTTTATGTAAGATGGCAAAAATTGAACATTACATCTAGACCATTCATATGTAAATCTCTTGTCGGCTGGAGTCAAGCATGACAACAACGCAGGGCAGGAGGGTCCCTTACAAAATAAATGCAACATATGCAACATCGACCCCTGGTGGGCGCATGGCTCTTGTGCTCTTATTCTGAAAAAGATTAACTTAATAATGTTCACATTACAACAGTTACGATGTTTGTTACGATGTTTGTTACGATGTTTGTTACGATGTTTGTGACACTTTTCATGAACGTAACTTCGTAGCTAGCTGGTAGTAAAACCAAGATCTAAACAGTGGGTTAGAGTTTATACACTGTTTATTGATTATAGATTATTGATTGAATCAACTACATATAATATAGTTTATACGCTGTTTATTGATTATAGATTATTGATTGAATCAACTACATATAGAACAGTTTACTCTGTTTAATGACACACAAACATCTCCAGTTGACCTGAATCTTTCTGGGTTCAAACACACATATTTGTGATGGTGGTTACTGGAAATCCTCCCCCGACTCCTCATTACACCACAGCTGAGTCAGTCCAGGCTGTGTGTGTTTGTCCTCATTGACGAAACAGGTTAATGATTGATTGATTGATCATCAGCGGACAGAAGACATGTCGGTCAGTCACATTGCAGCTGTCAGAAACCTTTCAGTAAGAAGCAGTTTGTTTGTCAGGATGAGATCGACTAGTTTTTTTGTGTTCGTGTTGGTTCTTCTCTTCATTCACTCTGAAACTGTAAGTTAACTTTATCCTTGTACAAAAACATACATATTGTCTGTATTTGTATTTTATCACTTGTATGATGTACTGCACGATAAAGTAAAAACACCATATTGATGTTTTATGATTATTTTGGTCTGTACCAAACAAACATTTGTCAGCGAGCACTAAAGTCCTTCATTAAAATAGTTTGTCAGACATTTTACCTTTATTGCAATATGGATATTGCTACCATTAACTGTGCAGCCCTAACTTTGATTTTAACCCTTTAAGACCCTCAGTTATATTGTTTCCATATTCAACAATTTATGACAAACAGATTCACAAAAACTCAACTTCTTTGTATTTTTATATTAAATCCAACCATTTTATCTTCCTGTAAAAGAAAATGTGCCACGTGCTTACATCAGCATGAACTGACTGATTTCAACCAATAATATCCTGACATTCACCTGTCAATCAATCTTTTAATCATTTTAACAGCATGGCTAGCTAGCGGAGCTCACTGATTACTGTACATTTTGGGTGAAACTGGATCAGATTTTATGGAGAGAATATTGTCTGTTTTTCCCTCTGACATCCTGCAACTGAACAGGGCTCAGCAGCCTCCCAGTGAACAATCAGAGGACAGTTTGATAACAGCGGTACCGAGGTGATTTATGGAGTTTCCTGATGACTTGGTGCTAAAAGAAGCTAACTGTCACTAACAGTAATGTTAGATGTTGTTAGCTTGTGCAGCTAACATTAGCCAACTTAGCCGGGGTGTCAGGAGCCAAACCAGCAATAAAAGATTTCCGTTTCACCCGGGCTTTAAAATGGATTTCCCACCATGCATTTCTGTTTGATGCTGCTTAGTGCAGGACAAAGATCGTACGTAGAATCGTGTTTACACGTCACATTTATTTTACAGGAAGACACAGTGAATGTAGATTAGATGTGAATAACGTTATTATAGTAATAATAATAACTGTATTATTATTTGGTCCAGCTGCAGATAGGTCAATCATTAACAGACCCGCAGGAAGCAGAACCAACAACCCAACCCACCCCCCTTCAGGTCACCAGCCCCGCACCCCCAACCTCTGCAGCCCGAGACCAAGACCCGTTTCTGGGTCCGTCTGAGTGTCTGGAGAAGAAGTAAGTGCATATTGAGTTATTTACATTGACACAGAGGCTTTAGTAGCTGAAATCTGTCTATTATTATTCTTTAGGTTAACTCGTAATTCATGTCACCTGGTTTTTTGCGCTCCGTGGGAGCGTTGCATCGAAGGGACTTGCTCCTGTAAGCCGCCATACTTGTGTCCTGTCGACAACACCACCTTCGTCTGTGGGCGGGACCACAGAACCTACACCTCCTACTGCCAGGTAATAATACTGTAGCTGGTTGGAGGAGCATCAACCTGTTGTAAACGTAAAGAGTTTGAGTATGTTCCCAACAAAGGCGAATAAAATTATTAGATTAGATGCAAATAAACGCAAATTTGCGATGTGAATGGTGCATGATTTCAAACTGTTGAACTTTGAGCAAACAATTCATATTGCAGAGAGACCGGACAGAAAAGGGAAGAGAAAGTTGGAAAATATGTGTCTGTCGGTTTTAATTTAGCATAGCCCTGATCAACCAAACTCCATTTAGAAAACAAGCATTTTAAAAGTTGTTTGCTCGTTGTCTTGCAGACAGACCAACTGTGTTCAGACTTTTTACAAATCTACCAACATGATGTTAGTATTTCAGTCTCATTGTGATCCATTTATTGAAATGAAATCCCAGAAACATTTTTTTTATTTTGGGTTCATACCGCCACAGTGAGAAAGATTTAAGGGAGAATATTTGTTAATACAAATGATCCCACGAGTAAACTGACTCTGGGTTGGTTTAGAGTCCATGTGTCCTTTAGCCGAGAGTTACTATATATATAGTATATCCCCCCTGTGGTATTATAATACAATATAAAATTATAGGAAATGAACATCTTTGAGTAATCAATGTATTGATTTGGTGATTTTTGTGGTGACGAGGTCACCAATTGTCACGAGATCATTATAAGTCTGGGAGTGAACAACTATGCTGAGGTCTTCTCTCCATGTTGCATGAAAACACTTGATTCATCACACTGGGTCTGTATTTCTTTTTTTTTTAAGTTGTATTTTTATTGAACATTGATAGTACAGGATATGTACATAGATACAACATTCACAAAAAGACTTTGGACCAATGCTCACATC